GATAGCCCTTGTGTAGCTTTGCGCGAAATTCAAAACAAACAAACAAACATGTCTACACATAGGGATACTGTACGTGAAGATTGTGGCAGTGCGCGAACTATTTTTTGTAATAATGCAAAAACGAAATGCAGAAAATTAAAAAAATAAACGTAAAATAAAATATACTTAATTTCGCAAGTTTGCCAGCTCCAGTGATTGGTTTGATCAAGGCTTTAGTCATAGTGCTTGCATTCAGTATAATTCTCGTTTGTTTGTTGTTGTTTCTTAAGCAAAGCTATATAGGGGCTGTCTACGTACACTGTCCCCCTAACTTTGTGCTAGTAAACTAGTGGGAAGGCAACTAGTCAACAGGGCCACATGTGCGAAACGAGATTTTTTACAGCACGAGACACGAACCATGAACCTTCGGATGCTTGCCACTAGATCACGCCTGGATCTCAGTACAATACATTTGACTGTGATGTTTGCTGTGCGCAAATTAAACTTAGGTTAGTAACAGATTGATTAATAATAATAATAAATACGTAAAGTGTATGTGTGTGTGATTAAATGCTTAACAACAGCGTAAATATCGTTAAGTTTACTACAGAAGTTGGTTACTTATATTGACGAGGATCAGTTTAAAAGTACTCCATTCAAAAATGATAGGAACTACTGGTATAAACCCTAGGACAATAAATCAAAGTCTAAACTGAGATCGCCACAACCAACTGCGGGTTAATCAGTTTCAGCATTTATGATCCAAATTAATTTCAGTTGTTTTTTTTTAATATATACATGCGAAAGAAATATCCATAAGCATGATCAAGCACTTGCTAGAATATTAAATTAGCGTCATATTTTACAATATAAAATGCATATAATACTTATTTTACAATAACAGGTTGAAAATATTAATTAAAATATCACCCAATCACTCTTCGTGAACGTATGGAGTTTAAGGTAAGCCTATTTTCTACTTTTGTATAGATCAAAAGAAACAAACTGATACTAAGTCACTGTAACAAACCTACCGTTTCTCAAGAGAACACCACCCACAGTAAGGATTTCTTGCTCGAAGACACAACTCACAGCTGTTGTACTGTTGACACTGTGCAATCCGGACTTTGGTCAACTACAAAAGAATGTAGAACCGAGTTTAAGATCATCTAAAGACTTATGTCTACCAGTAACCTAAGAATCAGTTAACATAAGCGGATGAGTTTGAGGAAGTTGCTATTGATCCAGGTAACCGAATTATAGCTGATCTTCATCTTGACACCTCCAAGCAGTTCATCTATGTCGCATCTTCTTACAAGGTGAGTATTGGTATCTGTATTCTCATCTCTTGTTATAACTATAAAAGTTGTAGTTCTTACAGCGTATGTTTTCATACTCAAGCTATTGTATCAAACATCAAAGTGTAATCTGGCTTTTTTTTTCTGTTAATTAGGTTTCGCCTCCATTGAGCACGCTTTAACGTGATATTTTCCATTATCTAAATTCAGTTTTTTAATTTCTGGTATACGTATGTATTACAGTAGAATGCTACTCGAATGTAAGTGTATATACAATGTGATTCCAGCAAACCTCGACTGGTCTTCAAAGCCGTTATTTCTGTTGTTGTTGTGGTTAGTGTATGATCGTAAATAAATATTAGCATTGGGCTTGAAATGATAAAATTACAATACTTGTACAATTTCTAAAGGGAAAAACATCTAACTGGTTATTTAAAATAACAACAACTAGGGATTTTATGGGGTTCTGTATAAAGTAAATAATTATGTTAACTGATTCTTAGGTTACTGGTAGACATAAGTCTTTAGATGATCTTAAACTCGGTTCTACATTCTTTTGTAGTAAATAATTATGTTAACTGATTCTTAGGTTACTGGTAGACATAAGTCTTTAGATGATCTTGAACTCGGTTCTACATTCTTTTGTAGTAAATAAATCATCTCCACTGTTTATCAACACCTTTAGATATTCAACATTAATACTTGAATCATCTCCACTGTTTATTAACACCTTTAGATATCCAATATTAATACTTGCATCATCTCCACTGTTTATTAACAATTTGAAATATCCTATATTAACATTTGCATTACCTCCACTGTTTATCAACACCTTTAAATATCTAATATTAATACTTGCATCATCTCCACTGTTTATCAACACCTTTAGATATTCAGCATTAATACTTGCATCATCTCCACTGTTTATCAACACCTTTAGATATCCAACATTAATATTTGAATCATCTCCACTGTTTATTAACACTTTTAGAAATCCTGTATTAACATTTGCATTACCTCCACTGTTAATTAACACTTTTAGATATCGAATATTAATATTTGCACCATCTCCACTGTTTATCAACACCTTTAGATATCCAACATTAATATTTGAATCATCTCCACTGTTTATTAACACTTTTAGAAATCCTGTATTAACATTTGCATTACCTCCACTGTTAATTAACACTTTTAGATATCGAATATTAATATTTGCATTATCTCCACTGTTTATTAAAACACTTTTAGATATCCAGTATTAATATTCGCATTACCTCCACTGTTTACCAACACATATATATAACGAACGTTATCATTCGCATCACCTCCAATGTTTATCAACATCTTTAGATCAACATTAAAATTTTAATCGTTCTCTTTAGCTTCTGGCATCAAATGACCACGAATGTATGAACAGTAGTTATAAAATTCTATCTAGTCGTTGTGTAAATATGCCGTTCTAGACATAAACTTCGTCACAGCTTGTAATTAGATCGTTAACCTTTAATTCAACAGTGTTATTTATTAACATAGGACTTTTTCGTTTTTTTCTCAAAGTTTAAATGTAACAACTAACATACAGTTTCGTACTATGACGACTAAAGTACAAAAAGTAACAGTAATAGAGTAACTACACTCGTCACTTTTCAAACAAACAACTGTCGAAAAAAATGTTCTTTTAAAATCACCTTTAAATTGTTTATCTTGTATATATTGAGCTTAACATTTACGAAAACTATATCAAGTGGCACGTTGTCAAAGCGACTAGGTTTGGCCTGAATTATGTTACCCACACAGATCTATGACTCAGTCGTGACTATGGTCACCGAACAAGTCACTAGAACAACGGGCGAAGAAGCTCCTTAAGATTGATAACGTCAGACTACCAAGAAGCGTGTACCTACCTCATTTAACTAACAGGGCTCTACTAAAAGCTCACGCGACAGCTTTAACTGGCATTAACTTGGAAGTCATGCATTTTATGTTTCGTAAATAACATGGTTGTTGATGCTCTATTTTATTTCGGTTCGTGTGAATAACTTTCACGAAATTGCAAAAAAAAATGAAACATCCTTACTATATATCTAAAGAAACGGTTGATTCAATTTACCCTTTTTCTTTATTTGTCATAAATTCCGTATCGTTTTGATAAAACAATTAAATAAAGAAGACTTCTGTTTGACACGGACCCTTTGAAAACAAGCAAGAATCATGAAAAACAAAAAACAAAACGGGGGGCAAACTTTCTTTCAAAGATGTCATTAAAAAAAAGACATTCCCCTTTCTTTTTGCGAAAACACCGAACGCTAAACATGTTTTTTTTTGTTTTTTTTAAAACTTGGCCTAAAGTCGCAGAGCAAATGAATGTATCAACTACATTATGGCATTGTTTGGCGTTTCGTAGATAGCGTCGAAATTTATCGCTTTTCGGAATTTATCGCTTTCTGACACAAAACATTTATACACTTAGATAATAAATATGTCTTCAGATCGGGAATTTAGAATTTACAAGATTGGAATACCTTTTGTACTTAATGTTATTATAAAACAAAGGAATGCGGATCAACTTGGGGAGCCAGAACCATCCAGAGAGAGACTTGTAACAAGTAGTACCTCAGGCGTGGTAAGAAAAGCGCGATGTCTTGTAATAGGTGAGAATTTACGACGACAAAGGTCAGTGGCGTATTCCAGGCAAATGTGCACAACATGAACTAGAAAGATTTCCTCCTGGAAATGCGACCAAAAGAGTATAGGCTCACTAAAATAAGGCTTCCAGTCATACATACCCTCCGTTCAATCGTCGCATACTTGGCGCAGCTGGAGAATGAAATGGGTAATCGGAAGCAGCGCCTGGGGATTTCTGTACGATCGGATTGTTGAAATGGGCGCAGGGAAACAGTCGTCCTCGTATACATAGCATTGTGAGAGGTTACAACGAAGCCTTTTGCAATGGAAACTGCAGGACTATTGTTTAGATTCACAGCCGTCAAATAGAGTAGGACGTGAAAACATGGACTGTATGCAACTATTTATTTTATTTTATTGTTACTGATGATGTCTATAGCCCACTCTACAGCACGAAAATAATGTTGTTCCTACTTGTTACTTTCGAGTGCACTTTGATAAACTAGAAGCAGAAAAATCACTAATTTGAGAGAATCAAACACATCATATACTTAGCCATAATAGGAATAAAAAATAGTTTTATTTTTTCATGTGGTTTTAATTAACAAATACTAGACTACTATTAATTTACAGTTTGTTTATTTTAAAGTCACATTGGGCTATCTGCTGAGTCCACCACAGGGGGTTCAGCTTCGGATTTTAGCGTAGCAAGTCCGTAGACTTACCGCTGTCCCACCAGGTGACGTTTAATTTACAGTTACTTTAACAATATTGTTTGTACTATGGCTTCAGTCAAAGGTTAGTGAAATGTTTTGTTTGTTTACTTCCTTTGATTTCTCCGCTAGCAGGTTCTACTTTTGAAGGCAGCACTGTCCACCGCCAATTCTTGGGCTGCTCTTGTCAAACCAAATAATGGGATTTGTCTCTCATTCTTATAACGCGTCCACGACCCCAGAGTATGGAGCGTATTTTTTATTTATTTTCTTTTTGGCGGTAACAGAACACGAACCACGGAACATCAGCTCCTCAGTCCACAATGCTAATCACTTGGCCGCGTGCGCCCACACATAATAATGATGAATATAGTGTTTTTTAATACTGATGGGATATTCAAGAAAGTTGTATACGTACTAATTTCAATTCAATGTGATTTCAAAATGAAGTGATCGTAAATCTGATATACTAAGGTACACTAATTATCATGGGCAAAGTACTCACTGTATGTTGTTAAGTTGCACAAAGGGCTATCTGAGCTGAACTCATTATAGGGATCGAACGCCAGATTCTTATCATTATAAGCCTTCCAGCTTAGTACTGAGGACGCGGGAAGCACTCAGTGTCGCGCCACCTACGTCATCCGATTATAAAAGGAAATCAGCATTTCTAGCATCTGTATCTTTACATATGATCACCTTAAACGGTTGCTAAAAACTAATATACGACTTATCGATCATGCTAACCACATTTAAAGAAATATACATTAGGACTAGTTCTCCTGACCATATGTGTTAGTCTATGAACAGAATTTACACAGTTCACGCCTTGGATATGCTGTTCATTTAGAAACTGTAATTTAATACAGAACTACGTACCAAACTAATTTGGAAAATTTACAAGAATAAATCATCACTTAAAACTTTCAATAAGGACAGTCTAGGGCTCTAAGGCCTATTTTCAACCTTCGACTTCAAGACGTTGGGTAGCAGTTATACTGCGTTTGATGTTGTTAAGTGCAAAGCAACACCAAGGGCTATCTGTGCTCTGCCCACCACAGGTATCGAAACCCAGTTTCTAGCAGCATAAGTCTGCAGACATGCCGCTGTGCCATTCTGTTACACTACGAAACCGATCAAACAATTTTTTTAAAAATTGGGTGTATGTATGTATAAAAACCAGGGGATGGCCTATATCACTTGTTTACTTTGGAAAGAACACATATATATATATATATATATACAATTTTAACCTGTGCTGTTTGAATGGTTATTAAATAGTATAGAAGAAATGTTCCCAAAATAATTAATTTTATATTTTGACGTTAAAAAAAAAAGAACCGTTGGGGGCTTAAATGCCCTGGATTGACCTCAAAAGTTAACTCCCTTTGAAATGGGGCTCCCGATAAAAAACAAAGTAATTTTCATTTTTTCAATTGAAAACTAAGTGCTTTGTTTATTTATATTATCACTTTTGAAAATGCGTTTTGGCTGTTCTATATATATACTGTTGTTGGTTTCTTTTCTACGTGATTTGATGCAATTTACGAAGAGCATATTTATCCTCATATTATATTTACTTCCTCTCACTATTAATGAAATTGAAATTGCTGGAGCCGCAAGATTTTATAGATAGACTACACGAAGTGTTTTTAAAAATATTTTTCAGCCGTACGGGGTGGAAACATTTATATATATATATAATACAAATGAGTACGTGCCTGGTATGTTACGAAATTGGGGTATACAACTTGCAAAATCCAAATAATCCTTAACGGCTGCCAAAACGAAACACGCGAGACGAAAAGTCTGTTTTGTGAAGAATACAGAGATAGTATCTATAAACAATAAAATGTTGGCGGACGGGCGTAGGTAAGAAAGAAAGGTAGTAAAATATAGTGAAACAAGAAACATTTGAAGTTACATGTCTGAAATATGCAAGATTTCCTGGTGAGTGGTACACGCCAGTTGTTAAGTCATTAAGTCAGAAGCTTCATTTAAAGGCACGCACATTCTCAAACGAATGGGGTGGGTTCAAAGAGTTAAAAAACTCACACAGCTTTTAAATGTGCACATATAGTATAAACAGAATTCGTTACGCTGTGGTTCCTTAAAACAAATCGCAGTTCAAAATGCTTTTCTGAGGATACTGAAGAACATATCTCGCTGAAAAAAAAACGAAAATCGAAACCACACACACACACCTGATTCTAGTTCCACCACACACACCTGATTCTAGTTCCACCACACACACCTGATTCTAGTTCCACGCATACTCTTTCAATAGGTAGTAAATCAGAATACATTGTTTCGCTTCTTTGTCTAAGACTTTATCGGACCGGATGAACTAGAAAGTCGCCCATAAATCTGTACCAGTGGTACAATAAAAGAGGTATCCAAAATATACATAACCGAAACGTAATGTTCCTTCTAAAAACATATAATCATACAGCACGTGGATTAGTTTATGTTTTCAAATGATTCTCTAGAAATCTAAACCGAAACGTAATTTTTCGATATGTTCCTTCTAAAAAACATATAATCATACAGCACGTGGATTAGTTTATGTTTTCAAATGATTCTCTAGAAATCTAAACCGAAACGTAATTTTTCGATATGTTCCTTCTAAAAAACATATAATCATACAGCACGTGGATTAGTTTATGTTTTCAAATGATTCTCTAGAAATCTAAACCTGACAAAGGTGGACGATTCCCAATTGATACAAACACTAGATGATTAAGCCTGTCAGTTAGTACAGTTGTTGGCTATCTAAATCACCCTAGTACTTGTTTTTAACCCGAGAGTGCCAGCGTTAAGTTTTCAATCATTAACACCAAGTGGTATGGGATCATAGTGACCCCACGCTGGCGTTCTAGTGTCAGGTATTCTAACTACACATTGGACAATTATTTTTACAAGTAGAACACATTAAAATTAAAGGTTACTTTAAACATTTTATGACTAGATCATATCTATATAATTAAAAAAGTAGCGTATTTGGAAAGTTTTTAAACTTCTTTAAACTATGCAAAAACGAAATTAGGAGTAGGGAAGTACGGATGACGTCATAATATGCGTAAGGAAGGGGTGGATGTAGATAGTACTATGCATTGCTAAGGAAAAGGTATTTAGAGAATGGATCGGTTATCCCTCAAATCCCTATCTCAAACAGCAGCGTTTATATGTGTTAAGGTTTTATGTTTGAATTTCTTCTTTTGTTTAAAGTACAGGTATCGTCAACTTATTGAGTTTTAATACTTGAGCCCCCCAGTGGCACAGCGGGAGGTCTGCGGACTTACAACGCTAGAATCCGGTTTTCGATACCCGTGGTGGGCAGAGCACAGACAGCCCATTGTGTAGCTTTGTGCTTAATTACAAACAAACATTTAATACTTGAACCCAATGCCCAAGTTTTGAACCACGTGTGTGTGTGTATGTTAATTTTGTAGCAAAGCCACATTGGACTATATGCTGTGTCCACCGCGGGGAATCGAATCCCGGATTTTAGCGTTGCAAGTCTCTAGACTTACCGTTGTCCCACGGGGGTACCAGGTTTTGAAAGCTTCGCTAGATGTGGTGTCTTGTTAGGTAAATCGATCGGTTTGTTATTTTTATCAAACCATTCAGCTCAAAGTGTCTTTTGTACTAGATGTGTTTGGTGGGTATAACGGGTTGCGGAATAGGTCTAACCTATTTAGGATTAACTTCTCAGTCACTGAGACGCCTCGCACGGCCAACAGATTCGTTCAAAACTCTACGTACCTAACCTCAAACGTGTGTAGTCTAAACATGTCACTTATCTGTTATAATTACTTTAAGTACACAGCACTGCTTTTACATTATATAAACTTTGTGGATTCAAATACAGAAGACCACAATCAAACGTGTTTCGTACTCGAAGCACAAGGTTTCCACTCCTATAGTTGCAAATTAAAGATGGCACCACACAATACTTTCTACAACTAAGACATATCACAAATTGAAAATATTAAGAAAACAATGGAGTTAAATAATACTGTACATTTTCATGTTTTTTATCTAGCTTCTTTGAATACGGAAATATTTGATTCCTCAGTAATCACAGCATGTTGTGAGCCCATTCGACTTTATACTAAACTACCAAACATTATTACTCAATAATACACGTAAATAGTTATTGTAAAAACTAATTAAAAAAGGTGATTCCCAAAGTAGCTGATCAAAGTCTGACGTTTATAAATAATGCTGGTATTCCCTATTGAAGAATTTTCCGTCTGGAGAACAGGTTAGATAATTTAGTGGATATCACAATTTTAAAGTTAAAGCCTGCCTACGGAAAAAAATTCATAAGTCTGATACCCCCTCCCCTTTGTAAGTAGTTGAATCCGAGATTAAGTTTAGTTTTCATCAAATGTAACGGAATGGCTCAATCAACTGACATTCACACCAATCAAACTGAAACTTGGAGTTCTTTGTGTTCGATGCAAATAGATTTAAAACCATATTGGAGACTTCTGTAACTGAAAACCAGCATACGACACGAGTGGAGACGGTCATTCCAAATTAGAATTTATGTGTGTGACACTTCTTAATAACAATGACACGAAAGATAAGTTAATATTAAAGCTTCTACACCAAGGAAAATACAATTCTGGAGCAATTAATCGTCGAAAACTTTTGACCAAAGCAAGCTATCTGCTCTGATCAGAATTAAATACTAACCCACTAAATCGTGTAGCTGATTTATTGTAGCGTTCTTACTTATAATGGTCAGGACACATTGATTCATCGGTTGGATACCCTCTCCGTTATCGATATTTTCGGCCTTAATCTCAAATATCTCTAAGATCGGCCAAGTTAGGGTATCTAGGTTAGTCCTAAGCACATGTATACTAAGCTAAGAAAGCTAAGGATTTTAAAAAATAAATGTTAAATGCCATGCATTTTACAGTTCAGAATTGTGTTTTAAAGTCGTATTTGTATTATGCGTATGTAGATTGTATAAAATTCGTCATAAAAATTGTGCATCAACCAATACGTTAGTTTTATTTTTTGTTAATGTTACCCCATAATAACTGTATTGATTTTAACACAGGTTTTTTTTTAACGGTCTAAAGTATTCGGTCAGAAGCTCATTGTTTACGTCAACAATGTATTCAGGATTCTGTCGAACAGTTTCTCGAATGTTAATTTCATTGACAGTATTAGTTGACAAATGTTGCTAAAACAAAAATGGCGTGTTTATATCGCTACACCAATTAATTGTCTAACAGATCACACAAGTCTGTATTTGGAGAAAAAAGTAGTTGTTTTGTTATGAAATAAAATAATTTTGTGTCGTTTTTTTTTAACATTGCAACCCAACTATGAAGTAAAGGAATATAACCACACTTACCTTCTTCAGATAGCCAGTTTCTGTGCCTATGAAAGCGACTGTATGTTGGGAAGTGGTTGAGGTAGTCACTGACGTGAAGGTAACGTTGCGGAAAGTGGCTGCTGCTGTCACCGTGATTGGAACTGTCCCGTTCAGTTTCAAAGTTTCTGTGCAGAAACTGAAAATGTTCCCACCTTTCTGTCATCCGTGAAAAGGAAAAGCTTAGGTCATTTCTGATGTATCAAATTATATGAACGAAAAGCTAAACTGAGTAAGATGTGGTTTTCATGTAAGATAAGTGCTAAATAAAGTAACCCTAGAAAATCTGTTGTAAAGTTCTTACTGCGAGTAATCGCTTCAGAGACAACTTGGATAATCGCTTTAGAGACAACTTTAATAATCGCTTTAGATATAACTTTAATAATAGCTTTAGAGACAACTTTAATAATCGCTTTAGATATAACTTTAATAATCGCTTTAGATATAACTTTAATAATCGCTTTAGATATAACTTTAATAA